TAGAGCAAACATTGTGGTTGACACAGCATAGTAGCCCATTGCAGAAGTGAAAAGTTACAGATTATCCAAATATATATTCTTATATTTTTATTCATACATAATTTAGCAGAACACTTGAACTCTGGCATTAAGGAAGTTGGTCTACTGGCCAGTATAGTTAAGAGAATATGGTTTATAAGCACATAATATAGATGAAAAGTCAAAAGGTATTTGTCATTAATTGCTGATTCTCTTTGGCATGACCTTTGAAGCAGAAAGTGTGTAAAAATATGCATGTGCACATGTCCATATGGATATAAATGAAGTTGATATGCTGATACTTGGTTCATCTTTTCCTTCACTGTATTAAAGGAGGAAATGAACCAGTTCTGTCCCTTGCCGCTGGTTTGGCTCATATATCATCTGTCATTGCACTCTTTGCTACTTCATTGTGATATTTTTCCATTGATTGTGCAATCTTAATTTGTTTGTTTTTATCTTTTCATTCTCTGCTGACTTTTCATTCCATAACTCAGATTAAAGCATTCCACTAATTGAAGACTGTGTAATCGTATGATGTCAGCTTTTGGAAAGTAGGATACCAGAATAGCCTTGGTATTAAAAACTAGCTTTTCAGTTATATTTGCAGCAATGCTGATAGGCAAAAATGTCACTCTCCTGAAGTTTGAAGCAGACATTATAATATGTATAATTTATTCAATTTTTGTTAAACTCCCCATTACATCTGATACAATTGAAACTGTTGACTGATGCAGTGAACAGTCCTAATTATACTCAATTGGTAAATTACGGTATAGGGATTCCCACTGAATCCAAAAGACCTTCAAATAAAGAGGTTTAGATGGAAGCAAGCTATAAAACTGCTTTGCTTGCCTTTTAAACAATGTTGAGCACTGATGAAATTCCCCAGAGTAATAAAAAGACTAGTGTTCTATTAATTATTCAAAGGAAGTAAATAGGATGACTAAGACAGTGGTTAAGATAAATCAAATACTGAACTGGAAAAGAATGTATGTCCTTGAAAAATAAGCTAATAGAGTTTAGTGATACCTGCAGAATGTCATTTTGGTTTGATTCCAGATATAGTTTGGAAACAATTTACAGCTGTGTACTAAGAATAAAGTCCTAAAATCAAACAGAACAAAGGATTTCATTGTATTAAAAAGTTAATTAGCGCATAAAATGTGACTTAGTCTGGTACAGTATTCCCAGTACTTACTGTTACATGACCAGGTACAAATTGTTTTCTGAAAAAGATCATCACAAGACTGTTTGTGCTTGACAAATAAAAAACTAAAGAGAGATTCTAGCTTAACTACTCTGTATTGTTTTGTGCCACCTTTGTATTTACCTCCACATTAAATACATAAAACTTCATTTGGTCTGGATTTTGGATTTTTATAATGAATTAAAAAGGATCACCTCGTAAGAGATTTTTAGGATTATTTTTCAGATGATAAAGATTTACGAACTAGAGTTTCATTGTACCAGTTTAATGGAAGTCCTTGTCTATATGAAAAGAAAACACATGAACATGTATTCCTAAAACAACATTTGCTAGATATAGACATTTGACAATACAGTGAGGGCATACTTAAGCTCAAAAAAAATATTGATACCTCTGGGAAAATTTAACTGCAAATTAGATAAGGAAGAAGTTTGACATCTAAATTTATTATTAAAGCTTCTTCATTTTAAAATCTTAGCAAATTGAATTGATTTATCTCTGAATATTCCAGCAATTAATGTAATAACTATGTGTTAATGCTGTCTTCTGTCACTTGACAGAAAATGAAGATGATTGGGTTATTTCACTCTGCCTACATTCTCACCTGAGCAAAATTTTCAGGCCAGGGTTATTATTTGGCTTTGACGCAGAGGTGGTATTCAGCAGGTTCTGACCAGTTCTGGAGAACCAGTAGTGGAAATTTTGAGTAGTTAGGAGAACCGGTAAATACCACCTCTGATTGGCCCCACCCCCATCTATTCTCTGCCTCCTGAGTCCCAGCTAATTGGGAGAAAATGAGGATTTTGCAGTAGTAACCTTCGCCTGGAGTGGGAAGGGAATGTAGATTTTACAGCATTCCGCTGCGACGCCCACCAAGCCACGCCTACAGAACTGGTAGTAAAAATTTTGAACCCCTCCACTCCGAGTGCTATGAAAGATCTACATTTCCAAACCAAATTTATTTTAATGGGATTTAGGGTGTGAGCGTGGGTGTGTATGATACACTATTAAATATAATTAATTTGTATTTTTTATCATTGAATTTTACAATTTGAAGGTGATTTTTCGATGCCGTAGGGTGTACCCAAGGCTTGGAGGAGTATGCAGGGCATTGGGGCATTTTTCACATGCTGTAAGCCTATGAATATTGAAGGAAGTTCAAATGAGCTTACATTTTAATAACTATGGCTAAGACTGCACCATATTTAAGCCTTTGCTGTGGCAAGGTGTCATGCCCTTCCCTCATGGATGCTAGAGAATAGATATTAAAAAAAACTTGTCATTGTAGAGTTGGGAAGATAGAAACAAGTGAGTGGGCACTACTGATTTGCCCATAATAGCTATCTATGCAGCACGTATATCAATACCCTTGCTGGTAGATTTTCCAGGTTGCTCCAAGCAGTTCAGAAACCACATCTATTGTCCTAAACAATACAATGTAGCAACATTTTGAGGCAGTATATAAAATCTGGTGCTTGTAACAAGTTAGCAATATGCATTTCTTTCCTCATTTTTATTTCTTCCTTTGCTTATGTGTTTGCTTCCTTCTGCCTTCAGCAACTGCTTCTATGCCTACTTGTTTTGTATATTTTCATATATTGCATACACACAAACATACATACATGCATACATATATGGTTGGCAGCTTCGCAGTTTGAATCCCTAGCGCCGCATAACAGTATGAGCTCCCATTACTTGTCCCAGCTTCTGCCAACCTACCAGTTCAAAACATGTAAAAATGCAAGTAGAAATAGGAACCACCTTTGGTGGGAAGATAACTGTTCCATGCACTTTTGGCATTTAGTCATGCCAGCCACATGACCATGGAGAACGTCTTCAGACAGCTGGCTCTTCGGCTTTGAAATGGAGATGAGTACTGCTCCCTAGAATTGGGAACAATTAGCACATTAGAATGATTAGCAAGGGAAACCTTTATCTTTATATATATTATACAGATATATATAATATATTATTATACAGATATAATATCTGTAAAATTCTAGATTTGAAGCATACTTTGATTTAAGCCTTGATTGCCTATGATGAATTTTGTGTGTGTTGTTATTACTTGTGAAGTTGTGTCCGACCCATCGCGAGCCCATGGGCAATGTTCCTCCTGGCCTTCCTGTCCTCTACCACCCTCTGGAGTCCATTTAAACTCAGGCCTACTGCTTCGGTGACTCTATCCATCCACCTCATTCTCTGTCATCCCCTTCTTTTGCCCTCAGTTTTTCCCAGCATTAGGCTCTTCTCCAGTGAGTCCTTCCTTCTCATTAGGTGGCCCAAATATTTGAGTTTCTTCTTCAGGATCTGGCCTTTTAAAGAGCAGAGTTGATCTCCTCTAGGACTGACCGGTTTGATTGCCTTCCAGTCCAAGGAACTCGCAGGAGTCTTCTCCAGCACCATAGTTCAAAGACCTCAATTCTTTGGTGCTCAGCCTTTCTTATGGCCCAACTTTCACAGCCATACATTGCAATTGGGAAAACCATAGCCTAGACTATACAGTTTTATTTCCCCCATATAGAATAATGTCTTGCCTTTCATATTATAATTTTATACTTCTATACCTTTTACAATATGTTTTATGTTTCATGCTGGCTTTAGGCCATAGTAATTTTGTCTGTCTGACCTGTTTCACTTAACAATTCACCATAGCACATGTCCACTTTATTCCAATGCAGTTTTGGTTTCCATGTCCATTAGCTCCTTTAAGAAGTTGGGGGAAATGGAGAGGAATCTGTTCTTCTGATAATCAACTAATCTTTGTAGCTCCTGGTAAGACAAATCACTAAATTTATTTTTGAAATGCTTATTGCTGGGACAATAGAACTTTTTTTTAAGCAGACAAGGTTTTTTCCTATTTTCATCTGTATAATAGTTAGTACAAGGAAGTACATTCCCCCCAAATCCTACAGACAGGTCTACACCCTTCCATCAGACTGGTATGTGCTCCTGAGATAGGGCTGATGTAGAGTAAAACCAATGGTTCCTGATTCTAGTAAAACCAAATAATTCTGCAGCTTTTCTTCTGCATTTAGGGGGCAGGTAGTTTCCTACTCATACCAGAATATCTGTGGAATATGAGCAAGTTTGGGAAGTTGTTGAAACAGTATACAGATACCCCAGGTTTGGGAGCTTCTGGGTGCTTTTATTGATTAACTAGTTCGGGTGCCATCCAAAGTCATATGTCAAGTAAGTGATCCATAAATTGAATTAATAAACATTTCCAGACATATGTCAGATAACTGAACTGAATCACATGATATCCTAAAGGTTAACACATTGGCACAAACCACATTCACTTTAAATGATAGTCCGCATGCTGATGCCTTAATAAATTAGAAACTGTGAGTAATCTGTCACATCAGCGAGCATCAGACCGCTCGATGGACGAATCTTGTATTCTGTATCAGAGCAGTGAGCATAGAGGATAGCAGAGAAGATTCATCAGCGGCTGCACCAGTCATTTCTTTCAGCGGATTTAATGCAACTGGTAACTGAAGATGATGTGACAAGTTGTTGTTTTTTATTCCTAACCACCAACCGGTAGATTTCTTTATCATTTGTTCTTTCAGATCTCCCAGCAGGGCATTCATAGCCTCTGTAACCAAGTCCGTATAAGTCTCATAAGCGATAACTATTTAGCTTACAAAGGTGTTTTTCTTTTCAAGAGGCAACTGGACTTTCCGATTTTTCTTTGAAGAAGTTTCGCTTCTCATCCAAGAAGATTCTTCAGTTCTGACTGAATATTAGATATTTAGTTTTCCGTTCCTGTACAGAGCTTAACGTTCCCTTTCAGCCGATTTAAGGCTTAGTGTCCTAGGCGAGACGTACACAGAACGAAATCCCGCGGACCTCAGCCACCCATCGATCTCCAGCCACGTTGCCGTAAACAGAGCGCTACCGCGCTCAATGCTGCTCTTCAGATCGCGCATGTGCAGACGCCGCATCGCTTGAGCTGCGCTTTGCAAAGGCAGGAGGGCGCGCTGCACATTCGGTTGGGCGCCCAAGTGATGGCTTTAGTCTGCGGGTGATCCGCCTCGCGCTTCCGCTGCCCCAGTTCTGCCCGCTGCTTCTCTGCGCCTCTGCCCAGCACCGCGGGGAAATATCCCGGGACGATCCAGCGCAGAGAAGAAAAGGAGCAAAGAGCGGGAAACGATAGAAGCTCCGCTGCCACCGGCTGGTCTTGTTTTGAAAGTTGCTCCGGCTGCCTCGTCCCACAGCGCAGGCGCTGCCGCAGTGAGGCCGGGCCGGGCTTTGCCAGAGCCGCCAGCAGGAGGAGGAGGAGGAGGATCGGGGTTGCAGCTCTTTGCTCTCATCCCACCCACCCCTCACCTCTGATGAACCTCGCATCCAGCTAGCCGTGCAAGCGTCTGCAGCCAGAGGAAGGGAGGGAGTCGGGAAAATTTATCCGAAACAGCAGTTTGCTCCGACGCCTGGGCCGTTCCAGACAGACGACCTTCCTGGGGCCGCCGCTCAACTAGCCGGGATGGCCATTCCGCTTAGCGACAGCGAAAAAAGGAAACAGATCAGCGTGCGGGGCATTGCCGGGCTGGGCGATGTGGCGGAGATTAGGAAGAGCTTCAATCGGCACCTCCACTTCACCCTGGTGAAAGATCGGAATGTGGCCACCCCGCGGGATTATTTTTTCGCCTTGGCGCACACTGTGCGCGATCACTTGGTGGGACGGTGGATCCGCACCCAGCAATATTATTACGAGAAGGACCCCAAGGTAAAAAGATGCGGACCTGGCACTCCGTGCGTGCATGCATTCCTCCCCCTCCCTTCCCCCAGTTATCCCCAGATTCACACAGGCAAAGGAGGCCTTGCAGGTACCGAATGTGGAAATTTCCCCTCTGCTGGAGAACGTGTGTGGGTGTCTTGGCAGCGAAATTGTGCACCAAAGAGCCATTAGATCATGGCTAGAAAGAATCAGCAGGCAATGAATTGGGAGGGTGGGGGATTTGTCAAAGACAAGGAGAAGCTGCATTCACATTGAAATCAGCATTCCTTAGTTTGGATTCTTTCTGGACTTGTTTCCATCAGCTATTTTGAACTTCCAACACATCTAGAGGGTACCAGGCTTGGAAAGGTCTACTTATGCCAAGAGAAGTATATTAGGCTTTAATGAACCAATAAACTCTATTGGTAGCTGCAAAATATTTTTTTAAGTCCTCTTTTTCTCACCCCTGTATTCAGTTGATCTCTCTGCAGTCATAAATCTTTTTCCACTTGCACCTAAGGCATGGCAGGAACATTGCCCGATAACAGCTTTTTCTGTCTTTTCCCCATGACACTCCCTTCCTCTTTTGCACTGTCTATGAGACAAGGTCATTAGCTCCGTACAGCATCTTCTGGAGTCATCCAGCCATTGTTCTGCTAAAATCACAGCAATATAGGCCAAGTTTAATATTATTTCAGTCAATGCTGAATGATGCTATGTATGTTGAAATTGTTTTTGTCAACCTGAAACAGTGGTGTTAAAGTAGCATTTTCTCCCTTATCACAATACCCTCTAAAACATGTAGCCAAAATGGAGTCAAGATTGGGATTGGCAACAGGAACCGCTAATTTCATATCAGGGTGGCAAAAACAGTTGGTACATATCAGTAACAATATTCTGTCAGTTTAAGAAAGGATAGAAAGCAGTTTAACCCAACAGTAACCAATATGATTTTGTTGTAGTTTATAAGGAGGATTTATTAGAAGATGTCTTTACTAAAATTAGGAATAAAATTCAAGAAGTTGGTTTGGAGAGACGGCTGCCCCAGGCTCACCAACAAATAGTTATAACTCAATGTTTTTAAGAAATGTAAGATTATTTCAGCACCTGAACAGGAAAAAATCCCAAAAGTATTTCTCTCTCCCAAATCATCATCATCATCATCATCATCATCATCATCATCATCATCATCATCATCATCATCATACCAGTCAATGGTACTTGTGATGCATTTTTGAATGTTCTGTTGACTGAGTTTCATGTTTAATGAATAAAGTATATAATAATAAAATAAATTTAATACCTACCACTAAAAAAAAAAAAAAAATTGAACTTCAAGGAAAAAGAGGGAGAAAAAATATCCACTCACAGAACTATAAAACAATAAGAACTTATAATTTACCAAGTGATGTCTTTGGGGAAAAGATTTTCTAATGAAATCTTCCCTCTGCTGGGTATTTGGAAATTATATTCTCACTTTCTCTCCTGTTTTTTTTTCCTCTCCCCACTCCCCTATAAAAGAAACATTTGCCTTTCATCAGAGGACCCAAGTACAGTATACCAATGATTTAATGCTGATGACTGATTCTTCATAGGATATGAAACACTAAATTGCCCTGCACTTTGGTTAAAATGTTAACTTCCAAGACAACTCAACTATGTGTTCTGAGATGCCAGTCAGGTAGAACTTTTTCAACAAATGCCAGCAAATCCTATGTATCCTATGTATTTGAGGCCTGGTTGTGAATACATACTAGTAGTGGGAAATCATTTTTGAGAAAGCTTATGGAGCAATTCAGAGATAAAACCTATTAAGTTCAGTGCAGTTACACTGCAGTTCACAGGTAAACCTTGGAAAGTTTGCAGCTTAGTTATTAAGGAAACAGTGAGTCTGAGTTCTCAGTAAAGATCCCAAAGATTGCCCGCTATAAATCTGGGAGAAGAAAAAAGCATTTCTTCAGCTCAGCAGACATGAAAACATAGAAATAAAGCCTCAACTTTATTTTTAAGCACTCTTTTCAAGCATTTCCAGGAAATAGTATTCCGTTAATGAGGGGAGAAGGGTTGGAGAAAAAAAATAGTCTTTAAAAGAATAAAACAGACTTGTTGACAGATGACCTGAACGTGTTTTATTGCAGGTTTGAAAGGAAACTACAGCCACCTACTGTATCTCCACAACCCCCATCCCAGACACACAAACAACAGCCAAGCCTCCTACAACTGACCCCATCCCATTGGGTTCATAACCCCTGGTGATCACAGAAAAGGAAGTGCAAGATCTATTTCACAGACAGAAGCCAGGAAAAGCACCAGGCCCAGACAAAATAACTCCTTCTTGCTTAAAAGTCTGTGCTGACCAATTGGCCCCCATCTTCACCCAAATCTTCAACAAACCACTAGAGATGTGCCATGTTCCTTCTTCCTTCAAACTCTCCACTATCATCCCAGTGCCAAAGAAGCTCTCCATCAAGGAACTGAATGACTACAGACCAGTTGCTCTAACATCTGTAGTTATGAAAACCTTTGAAAGGCTAGTGATGTCCCATTTGAAAATCATCACAGATCCGCTGTTAGACCCCCTGCAATTTGCATACAGAGCAAATAGATCAGCAGATGATGCTGTTAATATGGCTCTGCACTACATCCTACAACATCTTG